AAAAAAAGGAAGTTTTCTAATATCAAGCTAATTATACGATCGTAAGGGGAAGAAAAAAAAAGTTACAAGAAACAAAATACTCAAAATGATAAAATTTGAGTCAAAAAAGACAAAAAGGGAAAAAAAGCAGGGGAGAATTTATGTTTGCAGAACAAGGCTATCAAATTGATAGCTGAATAATTGTTGTGCAAGAAAGAGGAAAGACGGAAATATGTTATTGGAGCGGATTCATAAATTATCACATTTACTATTCCAAGCTTGGGAGAATTCTTCGAACGCTTCAAATTATTCATCTCATGAAAATCACTGCTTTTCATCACCCAATCCAATCCTCCTAAGTAGATTTCAGGAATTTCCTTCCTTTTCGCTTTTTTAATCAAATTTTTATTTTTATTTTTATTTTTTACATTACAAATTCCGCTTCTTTTTTTTTATTTCGGGATAATCTATCTGTTTTTCAGTTAATTTTCTTCCAAAAGAAAGAAAAAAAGAACATAGAAATGATCCATTTTGGCAATGATTGTTAGAAAATTTTCAATTTCCGAAAAATTTTCTCCAGATTGAAAAAGAAGCTGGAATTGAAGAAATCAGAACCTTTAAGAAATTGCTATATATTTGCAATTTATGTGAATTTCGTTTCTTTTTTTCTTTTGAAAATTAAACACTTTCCAAAATTTCAAATTTACTCATTTGTTTAAAAACCAAAACAAACACAAGCGTCAGTCAAAAAATTTCCGCAAAAATCATAAATCATTGAAAAATCAAATTAAATTTAAAAGACGTGAGAATGATTTGAAACATGAATGATGAAACAATCATACACGGTATATATATACTATTTTAAAGCTTAATAAAAGAAATGTTGGGAAGGTATTTGAATAGATCACTAGATTCGGGCTTATCATATATGTTATCACAAATGATTGGTAGCAATTACGAAGAACTTTTTTTTAAGATCTATTTTCAACGATTTAGTTTTCAAAAAATCTGAAAACATGTCAATGATTTCTTACTACTAAGCCACCATAAAATAGACGAACAATATGACAGAATTTGCTTTGGTAGGGTAACATAGATTACTTGCAGAGAGTTTTTAAAATGAAAATCGCAAAAGTTACTAATATCTGATACTAAGCTTAGCTTTCACTTCCAATCAAAATAAACAAATATTAAGGAGATGCATGTATCTTTGCTTAATTCATATGTTAAATCCTTTGAGTAAATTCAGCAAAAGTGAGCTTTATGATTTATAATAAAATAGCATTAAACAAATTTTTCAAAATAGTCGCCGATTTCAAAATTTTATTTTCACTGCAAATGTTTCAAAAATGATAGCACTACAAAGTTTTCCCTAAATTGAAAAGAATCTGCAATGGCAAGCAACGACCACTCAAAATTATCAAAACAAACGGAACAAGTTCACATCCCTACTGAGCTGTTATTTGCTTCTGCTTTCTTCAAACCATACTAATTTCTTCATGCATCCATAAATTTTTTCAAAAGAAACTTATGCTAACTCAATTTGCCATTCGAAACTATTATCCGTGATGACACCACTTCGATCGTTGTATTCGATTCTTGAAGATCCTTTCGACGAAATCCATTCATCATTCATCAATTCGTGCAAAATGCTGAATTTGTTTCGTCAAAATCTACCTGTCATTTTAAGGCTTTATTAATGTATCCCATAAATTTCAGGAATTTTTGCAAATATTAAACAGAATAAAGCCTGAATCCTCATTTTTCTGTCTGGAATCTGATGTTTTTCCTTTCAATTCCTTCAAAAAAAAAATTTTTTTGAAAAAATTTTGAAAGATTTTAATTTAAACTTTATGACAGAGTAAATTACCGAACAACCACAGCTATATCAATAAGTTTGCGACTTATGACTTTCAAAATTTTAAAGCTCGCAATCATTTCATGAGATTCATATCAATAATACTGCAGCCCCTAAACTTACTTGTAGCTGGACCAGTATTTACCCACTAATTACAATTATGGAGACGAAAAAGTATGAAAACAGATCTACAATCTTTTGGGAGTTATCCGAAATATAGGTAAACGACAGTTGTACTTCTGCAAATACTTTAGGTTCAAAGGGAAAGAGCAAAGAGAAAATGTTATAGTTTACACTTAACTTTACTGAGCAAAAAAAAGGAACACCCTTTTCAGTGTTTCTCAGAGAAAAACTCATTTCAAAAGCTCATCTAATGTATACTACTCTGGTTTTGCTGTCCTCATTAACTTTTCAAAGTTTGCAAGAACACAGATATTCCCATGAGTGATATTTTCCCGATGTATATCTACTGATATAAGAAAAAAGAAAAAGAAAAACCACACGGCTGTAGTTATATCTTTCAAAAGACTTAGAAGCTTGCTGTCAGACCGTTTTTAGTCTATTCTCTGGTTAGGCTTTTGAAATGATTCGAACCCCTGTCCTTCTAAACTGCCCAATAAGCAGCAGTGAAATGCCCTAACAACTTAATTTAACTATTGCTACGCAACGAAAAGAACTGGGAACATTTACTAAAATATCACATATTACAATAAATAACAATGAAAGCTGGAAAGTCTAGAGCTGCAAACAGTTTCAAGCAAACAGAAAGCACACAAATGAAATATTGCCATTAAGAAGTGAAGTCACTTAACAGATCAAAAAAACTTAAGAAAGTGAGTGCCGTTACTCCGCTACTCTCATGATTCAGTTCATTATGTTTTAAGTTGAGAAAATGTTGTATCCTTTTCAATCATTTCCAGACCGATTACAGATGGACGATAACTTCTGACGAAGATTCAGTTATCATATATGATCCCTTTTACATGGAATTATAACTAATTCGACAAACACCCGATTTTGAAAGAAAATAAACACACTTGAGTACGGAAAACTGTACTATCAACAAACAAGTATTTCAGCGAGCATCTGAATTTCCAATTCTTCATTTCATGAAGATCCGACAAAAATATTCCACTAAGTGTTTCAATAAATAAAATTCTGACAGCCACAGAAACATTAAAGGAAGCTAAACGTCAGTGGATATACAAGAATTTGCTTTTACCGAGCTAAATTCATCATTATCCACTGTAAAACCTCGATTACGTAAATTTTCATCCAAATACCACCTGAAAAATCATTTATTAACACAAAGGAAGCATCAAACCAGAGATAAAATTAGCAAAATACAGTGAATGCAAAAAGCGAAACGTTTACAAGGCATACAAAAATTTCGAAAAATTCACCTGTAAGCATCGTATTTCTGCCGAATACGAAAAGAGTATTGTTTCTCTTCATCTTCCAATATTTTTAAAAAGTTCTCAAGTTCTGGAACCTCAAACATATCCCACTGAAATCACAGCAATTTCAATATGCATTCTTTTTTTTTCGGGAAACATGAACTAAAACTTTTAGTAAACAACGAATGATTTCAAATCTTCTCAGCTAAGAAAAAAAGACAAGTGGAATTTTTGTAAACAAGTACAAACCAAAATATCGCCTGTATCGTTCTCCTGTAAAACTAATTGCCGTTTCTCACCCTTCTCTTCCCATAAGCGCACAATTTTAAGCGGAAATGATTCGTCCGGAATGCGGGTTAAACTAACTTAAATCACACCTGATTTTCAGAAGAAAATATCACAAAAAATCAGGGGAAATTAAAATAAATGAATAGACCGAAACAAAAAGTTCGGCAAGACTTAAGTTATACTTAGGAATGCGAAGTCATGGTAAACAGTATTTTGTAAAAACATACAATTTTATACTTAAAAATGTAAAGTCCTGCCAAATAATATTTTGTAAAAACATACAATTCTGTACATTTGGACTTTCTGGAAACTGACAGACGCGTTCATACAGTGCAAACTTCCGTGGATTATCTGCAACTCGGAATTTCCGCAGTAAAGTTACAATCATTTCTCTGAAAAAAAAAGATGTGAGATTTATTTGGCTAAATAACGAAATGAAAGAGACATATTTAAAATAAAATTATTTGTAGTGAATAAGAATGGACATAATCTATACATGCCTGGTAGTCATTTTGCTACTTATATTCACATTCTTTATAGTATTTCTCGGAAGGAAAAATGTTGTGATTGTCCTTAAGGAACTGGTAGTTATAGACCCTAAAAAAAAGTAAATAGATTTTCATTCATAAAATGTTTCCAATGTATCGAAATTCATAAAAAATCCATTCATAAAATGTTTCCAATCCATCGAAAAATCAAAATGCCTTCCTTCAAGGCTTACTAATGGTTCGAAACTTAATGTAGAACGCTACAAGATGACATCATGTTGAAAAACTCACCTGATTCATTAGTAACATCCAAAAATGAAAGTGAATCGCCTGCTACCACATTTATAGGTCGCATAAAATTCATGTGAATTTGTACAAAACCGCTCGTTTCATCTTTTTGTTCCTGTATAAATTTATGATTTGTTCATAACACTCTGAATATAAAAGCTCAAAAGGACAAAAAAATGTGTTACGAAAGCTTTAACTTTATTTATGTTTCCAAATTTCTAAATGACAAAAACAGTGGCTCCCAATTGGTGGCCCCCGAGAACTAAAAAATAGTCGGCGAGGTTGATGCGTGGTGAGTAAAAAGCAGGTGAAGCTGTTTGACATTATAATGCTAGTCTAAGTTAAACCAATACGCTAAAAGTTTTGATTTAAGTTTGTTTCCAAATTAATAGAATTTAATGTTTTTGAACTTGTGGTCTCCGTTACAAATAAAAAAGCCAAAGTGGTCCCTGGCCAGGATTTCGGGAACTATTGGACTTGAAACTTTATAAAAAAGCCATGTAAAGAACGATGCAAACCTCAAGAATGTCGTCATTTTCAGTGAACATTTTGAGATTTGAACAAGAAGTTACAGCTAATTCATGGCACGAATTCAAGGTACTATCGGCCGTTTTGCAATCAAGTGTTACCAGCGATCTACATTTTGCGTGACAAGTGTAATTGCAGTCTGCAAGAAAAAAGTTCGACATAATTAACTCGAGATTTTTCGGAATTTGGATCCTTTATTTGAAAAAAAAAAAAACTTGTACAGTGCTTCCGTAGCTTACTACTTTCAAGATTCAATAGTCACCGACCACAGGATTTTTTATAGAATTAACTTACTATCACACTTCACAGCTCGTGTCAAAAATCCCCACATAAAATCTCCACATTTGTCACACCAGGTTGGATGGGTAACAGATAGTGACCTGAAATGACCGAAAAGTATTTAACCAGATTTAAACTAATAAAAAAATTCATCTGTTTTGAAATATCTTACAAGAAATCGTGTCCTTTTCCTGGATGACTACAACCTGTAATAAGATTCTTCAATGGGCCAAAGTGCTGCAAAGCAAGGGTATCATCATAACCAGCTTCTTCCCATAACCACGAGCCTATCGTATCACTCTGTAAGTCGAATCGACTAATAATCCATTTGCGATTAATTTAATACCACTAAGAAACTTAAAAACCCTGTAATACATAAAAACGTGTGTCAATGATAAGAATAGCAACAATAGCAAGAACAACAATAATCAAGGAAAATGAAAGTTGAAAGAGAGAACTGAATACAATTATAGAGTTGTTTAAAATAAAAATATTGAGCTCACTCCATTTACGTCTATTCCTGGATCACAGCATGTCTCTAACTTCTCTGAAACATCATCCAGCCTCTGCTCCGGTTGATCATCTTTGCAGTCCACTTTTTCTTCGGCTTTGTCACTGGGTAACTAGAAATTATAAAAAAAGCTCCTAATGCCTTAACTAGTAATTTAGAAGCTGTAACTCTGCAGTTCAGTACTAAAGAATGCACTTTATCTCCACATTTCAACATCAAATCGTGACAGACTAAGTGCACTGACTGCCTCCTCCCAGCGTATTTATCTCCAGTTTAAAAAAAAATTTCCAAAAAATGTGGCTTCAAATTTCCGTCAATAATCACGGATTCAGCTCCAATACAGTCCACTTTCCTCCCTCACCTCTAGTTATTATTCCAAATAACTGGGAGGGCACTTACCACTTCCTCTGTTGGTACTATATAACTGAAATTCCTAACTCCAAGTTGGCTCAACCATTCCGGCATATTAAGCTGTGAGATCCTTGCACGTAATCCGGAAAACCACCTCAAAAAACGGGAAGTAAACCTTTATCACACAATAAATATGGGAAGTCTAAAAGTAAACATGATTAAAACAAATAAAATCTTCATATTCTTAACTGACTAACTTAATCCAAAAGTAGCAAAAAAAATTTACAAAACGAAATTCAAACTGAAGTATGCAATAGACAATGAACCGAATAAATTCATGCAATCTTTCTATGAAAATTCTTCACGTCTAGAACACATGAAAAAGTGACAAACGAAACTGACTAATACCTCGACTGTTGCGTGGCAGATTGACGTGATCGCATATGTTTCCCATCATTTCCGTTGCTACTATCCACACCATAATCCAAGGTCTTACTCATATCAGCTATATCACATTAGCCTATCTAGAATTATCGTAATAATTAGAGAATAATCCTTATGCCCCGTAGGTTAGGTAAGCTACTCCTCGCATCGCTTGCGGGTAGGAAAAGTGTGGACGAACGTCCGAATTTTACACAAGTTTCAGTGAAACAAAATTCGAGTAAAACCAAAATCGAAGATGGGTGAGTGAGGATGAAGGAAACATTCCGCTAGTCACGAGACACCCTCATCGGACACTTCATGGCGCAACTGGTAAGGTGGTCGTGTGTGTTACCAGGATGATGAGACTAGGTACGGTTCTTCATTCTTTCTCATGTCCGTCATACAAAACCAAAAGGCAGTTTAGATGAAGATTCAGTCTCGAATGGAATCGAATCTTTATATTGTCTTCTCTTTGTTACTTTTCTCCCTTCATTCTTCCTTTAGTAGTTAGTAACATAGATAATTGTCTTTCCTAAAAATCTATCATAAAGAGAGCAATATTTGCGGTTTCTTCTTGATTTCAACTTATATTCTAGTCCGTTTCTTGAGCAAATCTCATCATACACCGTCATTATCTTTAACCAATGATAAAACAAGAGTAACCCTCATCATATTAATGACTTCAATCGAGATTAAAAGGAATTTGAATGACATTGATTTTTTCTCTCCCTCCTTCTTTTTGTTGCTTTATTGAAAAAGAAAATCATTTTCATTTTCATTTCATTTCATCCTTCCCTTTTCTCCCTTCTCATATTTACGACATACTAAACTAAAAGTAAATTTTGAGTAATAGGCAAAGAGGAACTAACGTTAGCATACCGAATTAGAAGATTTTCAAGAAGTATCACCAAAATTAGTGTGAGGACGAATTAAATGTTCAAATAAAATAGGGACAATTCATTAAATAGGTTCTACATTTTGCAGAATTTTTCAAAAGTCTGGTGAAATTTTCCAAGTTTATTAAGAAAAAGGACCCAATGATTAGGAGAGCTGACCGGGAAAGAAAAAAATAGGCCGAATGATACAAATAGGTATTAATATCGATATCGAATATTTAGATAGTACTTTATGATGGTAAAGCAAGCGAATATACGAATCAGTATCATTCAATGGATAGCCGTTTGATTACACTCTGATTTTCTAAAGATCAACAACTAAATAAAATTTCAAAATTTCGAAGGATGGGCAGAAAATCTGCTGCAAAATATTGATGACACAATATGCAAAGAGCAGATGGAAATTCCAATAGTTGAGAGTACTGGTTTTCTCGCAGTTCACATTGTTTCTTCTAAATGAAGTGTTTAATTTTAGTACGTGTGCAGTTGTTCCATGTCCATTCATCTTGTCTTTTTGCTCGATCTGTACTTTTTAGTTGTGAAGCAGTTTGGTTGTGCACATCAACCTATGGATATGATACCCACGAAAAAAAAATGTTAGTGGTTATAATCTATTTCTATTAAGTCGGAGGACAGCAGTACGAAAATTACAGCTATAATTCTCGTATTGTTGTCCTCCGACTTAATAGAAAATGTCATTGCCAGATTTAATCTTTAAGAAACCTATAACTACCTGCCATTCCAAAATTTTTACTTTCTCCCACAGCAATTCTAGATTATACGTTGTTCCATCCCAAGTTATAATAAATAACTTCGATTTACCTCCAAACACAAGCACTACCAACAGCATCCATCTGAAGATGTTCCTATCCCATATCTTCTTTTCGTCTGCTTAGCAATTTGATAGCTTAATAAAGAATGAATGAAAGTGATACACTGTGAGGCATACGATCGTATACCTCTCCTTCCAGATATACCGTGATTTACAAGCGATTTATTACACTTCAAGACCATGTGTCAGCAATAGCAAAAATAGGATACGTTTTAAAAAGTACATTGAAATAATGATGTCATGAAATATACTATTGAAATATTGGGATTACTGAATTGTACCAATTACATTAGAAAAACATGAAATTTGACCAAACTTCATTTTTCGAACTAAAAGAAAAGTAGGAACTACTGCAATGTGCCGTTTCCGGAACTTAATTTGTATCTGAAAATATCCTGAACAAACAGTCAGGACAGATCCAAAGATTATTACCTATAAGCATCATAAATTATTAATGACTTGAAAACAAGTCGGTAAGATTATGCTTTTTGTCAGTCGAAAATGCATTGAACGCGCACTTGATAATGCTTTGGCATATTTCAAACTCAAACAAGCAGCATTTCTTGGGCCCACAAATATTTCACTACTTATTATGCTGCAACATTTCCTTCCAAGTGCTAGAAAAACAGACGTCAGTTCTCCCCTTCGTGAGAAAAACTGTTTTTAGCGGTATAGATGTTAGCCTATACTTTTACGATGCAACAATCCTAGAATTCTAAGCTTAAGAATCTATGATACTGTCAGCAACAATACCTGACTTCGTAACGTATTCAGGAAGTTGATTGGTATCACCCTAACCTAACAACGAAAACATGAAATAGAAAGCGATAGTTACCAGCAGAACAAAAAGACGAATTAAACAAAAGCAGATAAGGAAATTTCGTTAAACCCCTCTTATACATTATTGACATACATTATAATAACGACACCGGTCACCGATCGACTAGAACAACACCAGTTCGGCAAATTAAAAAAACTCTCCGAAGGCAGGAGCGCAAGATGATACAATCAATTTAACTAAAATTTTCCATAATCTAAAACCAACGGCAAAAAGGTAGACTGCCATCTTACCTTTTTCACTCTTCAACTTCCTCCTCCTTCTCCTCTCTCTTCAACGATAATGATTAAACATAAAATGCCATAAGAAGCAATATGGAAAACCTGCCTCTGAATTATAAACACAAAAATAAGCAGAACAGTATGCATAATACATCCAAATCTTTAAAAATACAACCAAATCCTTGAAAACAGAAAAACAGACAAGCGATACAAAAAAGTTGCAAACTGTGAGCTGCGAAGAAATACTTGAATTAAAAAAGTAACAAATGGCAAGGGTAAAATTGAAAGTAAATTAAAAAATTTTCACCGTTGTGGGAAATCCACATATTTTTAACTAAATGCTTTAACAATTGTCATTAGTTCTGAAATCTATGTGTTAATTAATTGATTGCAAGTCTCTGATGTTCGTAGTCTCAAACTTCGAATATGTCTATATTTGACCAGTCTTCAAAAATGACAAAATGGAAAGAAAGAAGAAAGTTCGTGGTTTTTAAGAATGAAAATCGAATAAAAAACTTCTTTCTTTCAAAATATACGATCCGAAAAATGCACACCAAAGAATAAAGATCATATAAATATTACAATGATCATTTCAAAAAAGATAAAGGAACAAAGAAAAAAGGAAATCGAACAACCGAAAATGAGTTTGTAGAGAATTTTCCAGGTGGGAAAACCAGTGGAAAACCGGTACGTACGGCTGCTTGTTTTCAAATTGTTGCAGTTGTTGCCGGTGGTATGGTCGTCGTACTGCTGTTGACATTTGGAGTGGCGCGACGAGCTGATGGACTGGCCATTGGTGACTGTGTTGGAGTTGCCATTGATGGAGGCATGCGTTCATTGATTTTATCTAACCGCTTCGCTTCATCGAATGATTGAATCCGATGACCAGGTCCCAACCCAGACAATGCTACAAATACTGCATATAATTCGGTAGTTACATCTTCCGAGAATGGTAACTGTTCTGTACAAATGCGCTCCACCTATGACCCATTTTAACCCTCTGAGTTTTCCTGCATTCAACCGTAGAATGCCGTAGTGGTCAACAACAGCAACAGTTAAATGATGATTTGAACAGGTATGCATAATTCAATAACTATCACATGTGCCTTCAACACAGGCTGCTTTAAAAGGATCAGGCCTATTTGGTAGAACTTTTGGTACCACTGATAACCGTGAAAATTTACTACAGGAACGCACGTGTACAGCAGAAAAGGATAATGATAAAAATCTGTAGGGCAGATGCCCACATAATTAATTGTAGGCAAACGAAGGAATTTTCCAAGTAATATCGAAAAACCAAACAGTTCTGCAATTCGATGATTAGCCTGTTTGACTATCGATCTCTCTCATTCAATAAACTAGTCCACGAAATCCAACTCAGAAACACACAGCCTGTTTTTTTTTTCAAATCACTATCATAGTTAGAGCTCACACAAAAATGAAAAATTGCTGGAACAAACTACGCGCGTTGGTTAGTTTCACATAACTTACACTCTTGAAGCGCCGACTCCCCACCCGTCAAAATACCAAGCGATAATCGTCTACCAGGGTTCAAATCTTTCAGCTATACCACTCTTTCGTTTTCACGCCTACACTAATAAATTTATAGGAAAAAATTTGGTTAAAAAGCTGAATTTTTCCGATTTTAGACCGAAATAACTTTCACAATTCTGTACACAAAAATGCACAGATTTTAAAACTGGAAAATTGATTGCATCTTTAAACAGTTTTCTAGTTTATGCTAAAGCCCTATGAACTTTTCCTCTACAATTCGCCGCATCGCATAACAACACAACTAAAACAAAGTATGTTGGCTAAACACCACAACAACGCACTAACTTCCACAAAAAAAGAAAAAGAAAAAACTCGGCTTAACAAAAATACAGAAGCAGCAAACAGATAGTGACATACTTGAGATTTGTTTATTTTACAATGAAATGGATCTAGAAGAGATGGTAAAAGATGATGATTAGTAACGAAAGCTTCGAGAGGAAACATTACCCCAAAAAAATTTGAATTATCTTCTCATTTTCAAAATAACCTTCATAAGATTTTACGGAAAATTCTCTCGTTTTGTATACCACTCCGAATCATCATGAATCGTCGAGAAAAAAGTATCCATTTCATCAAATTGGTCAGAAAAATAGCATTTTAAAAACAGTTCGCCAAATTATGTTGTAATTGGCGATGTGTACAATTTACAAGTTGTAAAAGTATAACAATGAAGTCAGTATAAAACCAAGTTAAGCATTTTTAAATCTTGGAAAATAGAAAAAAAATGCACTACAGACTGCCATATTATTAGACGGTTAAAACGATTCT